TAAATCATCGAAAACACAAATTAAGCACAGGCACATAAGTACAACTACTTTGTTTCATAAAACCTATGTATTTATTAACATTATACATGTTTTAATGATTACTGTAATATACAAACAACGTTTTTAAGTTTTCAAGTTTTTAAGCTAATTGTAGTGTAATTTTTGATAAGGGTTGCAGAGTGCTGGGACCAGGCCAGGAGCAGAGCCCTGGGCTGGCTGCCAGTACCCCAGGTCAGCAGGAAGGCTGAGCAGGGCCGGAGACCCAGCTGATAGGGGGCCGGGCGGCTAGAACCCCAGACCAGCAGCAAGGTGAGCGGGGCCAGCGGCCAGTATCGCAGGCCGGCAGCAGGCTGGCAAGGGACCGGCGGCCGGAACCCCAGACTGGAAGTGGGCTGAGCCACTCAGCCGCTGCCGGCCGGGGGTCTGTAAAAATCGTCTCGCGTGCCGCTTTTGGCATGCGTGCCGCAGATTGTCGACTCCTGAACTAGATAAACATTAACTTAACAATAATGATGAAGAGATTTAGTGTCTGACAATTAAATGGCTATTATTTTTAAAACAAATCTAAACCAACTGAATAAATTAAAATTGTGCTAGCAAAAATACATTAGGTAAATAATAAATCTTACCTCAACAACATCTCAGTACAAGTCTATATGAGACATTATGATTGATAAGAGATAATTAAGTGCTTACCTGTCTTGGATTTTGTTGACCAAATTTAACTTGATGAGTCACAGCCTTGATAAACTTCTGCTGTTTTGCTCCTTTCTTATTCTTTAGACCAAATGTTTTGTCCTAAATTAGAAGAGATTTGTATAAGTGATGCTTCAGCTACTGGACAGTTTTATGAAAAGTTCAATTTAAGTTACAACAAAAATTTACTGTTCCTTTCACCTTATCAATACCATTCCCACCCTTGATTTCCCCAAAGCTACTTTGATCTGAGGAACATAATGGGCAATATTTAGTCTTGAATTGGGCAAAGATTGAAGGTCTCATATCAAATTAAACACTAGCTCTTAAATTAAAATAGATTTTTTTTCAGTTTAAACAAGCCATGTTATTCTCAAAGGTAACATACAGCATTCAGAAATTACAGTTAATTCTTTGTTAGTCAAGAAAGAGCAAGAAGAGTATTTAAAGATTTAATTAAAACAAATTAAAAAACCCTATGGTTGTAACTTCCAGTTCAATAAGTGTTATTTAGTTTTTGAATGATGTAATCTGGTCTATATTTAAATATAGAAGGCCTGCATGCAGACAGCATTAAAAGAATTAAAAAAAAATACGATAAAATAAAGATACCTCAACAAGGATTTGGTAAATTAAATAATCTCTCTCGATAATGTATCTCAATCCCAACAGGCAGTTATGAATGACTGAACCAATAACATGATGTAGCAATAGTAAAATGAACAGAATAAAATCTTACATTCCATCTGTCAGGCTCAGTTTACCATGTGAGTTGCATATCATTTTGAGACTCAGCTCCAAAACAACTCATAATACTTTATTTTCCCTTTGGAGATTTCTGTAGTAACTAGAGTCAACTTTACAAATCTGTAAAACCTATAGGGCTTTTTATTTAAAAAGAGGTTACCTTGCATTACACACACCTTTAACTTTGACTTGTGGAACAATATTTTTCCCAAGCTCAGTGTGTAACACAAAATAAAGAAAGACGTTGTCTATTCCAGTGGTTCTCAATCCACGGGCCACTTGCAGCCCAATCAGCACACAGCTGTGGCCCAATCAGCACACAGCTGCGACCCATGTGACATCCTCAGGGCCATACATGTGTTATATATATATAGTGTGGAGGCGGCCCACATAACACATAGAGAGCTGCATATATGGCCCACAATGTTCACAAGATTGAGGAACACTGATCTATTCTATTGAGAATGATATAACAGAAAATAGACTAGAGGGGTACTTAAAACACAATACTTTCTGGGAACACCAGTTTCAAGTTCTGGGCAGCAGAAAAAGGCTTCTCAGTTAAATGCACTAAGCTATGGAAAAGATAGAAACTACATATATGACCTTAAAATGGACTTGGAGGTTCTGCTTTATTTTTTTTTTTT